GTCTTCATAAAAGAAGATATAAAAAAGAACCTTACTTCTTGGTTGAGGGGTAAAAGAATGTTTAAAAAAAAATAGGTTTTGGTTACCATGTAATATTAAAGTTTGTAAAATTTGGAGTTTTGTCAAACTCTTGTATACTGAAGCAGCTGTATAAATGTCAAATATGATAAGGAGAGACTTTTAGTTAGTATATTGTGTATATATATGTACAGAATATACTAGTTTGATTGGGCAATTAGTAAATGATGGTAGCTTTCTTTACTCTTTTTAAAGAACCAAAGTCAAGTGAAGCACTTCTTCAGGTAGTTGTGTCTTAACAGCTTTTAGGAGATCCATCAGTCTCCCAAACTGAGACCTCTGTTCTGAGGTGAATACTGGTGGTGGGATATTCTCCCAAAGTGTTTTCCAGAGGAGGAAAATGTATCTGTACGGTCATTCTAGACTTGTGCAATCATAGAGTTTCACCTGGGTTTAAGGATTTACTTACATTTTCTTTTGAGCATCCCAATGTAGCTTTTGACTGGTAAATCAAACTGTTCTTCGTTAGGAACTGAACAAAATAAGAAAATATTTCTGAAGGGTTCTGTTGTCAGTCACTGGGAGATTCAAATGAGAGGAATGGTGAAACTAAGAGCAATATTTTATGCTTATGTTAATCTAAATAAAATTTCTGTGCAGTAATCTAAAGCTTGAGTTGGAAGACGATGTTTCTCGGGAATTGGAGATCAAACTTTTAAGCTAAAACTGTAAATTGGAAGTGTTTGTACAATATCATCAAACTTCCTATCACTCAGTAAGCAGATTCCAGCTTAAAACCATTCTTCATAGAACACTGATGCCAACTGCCCTTCTTGGTGCTGTGTAATTAAAGAATGATCTAGCAAAGTTGTTTGAATATTTTTTTTCTTCTACAACATAACGTTCTTAAGAAAACTGAGAAAATTTAAATCATTAATTGAAAATCTAAATGAGAAGATGCCTACTTAAGCATATTTATTGTGACTAGAAATAAAAATGAATCCTAATTTCCTCTGTAGAGGTACATGTAGTACTTCCTGTATATACTCCTTGAAGGAAGTAGTGTGAGCAAAAAGTGAATTAAATTCTGTAACGCTTTTAATCTTTAAAAAAATCTTTAATCTTTAAAAAATGTGCAGGATTTATTCAAGTTCAACTCCTGATTTTTAGACTGCTGTTATTTTTACAGAACAGACAATCTTTAGAGAATTATTTTGGGGAGGACAGAGAGAAATAATTGCCATAATTTGACTGCCAGGGGCAAGAATGCTCTAGCTTGGGAGATGGTCTGTTGGGTTATTTAAAATATGAATGTAGAGGAAAACAACTTACTTCATCACAAAAGCTTGGTGTGGAACAGAGTACTAAATATTAACACTTAAACTTCTTATACCTGAAAAGGTTTTTAAGGGACATTCCAAGTCCTCAAGTTCTTCAAGAGGAGATGGCCTGGATGAAGGAAAGACTGTCAAATTTAGGATCACCAGTGGTACTCTGTCACAATGACCTGTTGTGTAAGAATATTATTTACAACAAGAAGCGAGGTAGGTATTGAACTAAACAGTAAGTAGTGGCTTAGTTTGTTTCTGCTGTAATTGCATTTGCTGCATCAGTAATGTCATTTTACTGACTTTAAGGAGTGAACTCAATTTGAGCTTTTAAGACCCAACGTAGTGGTGGTGGTATCTGTGTAAATATTAAGTTGCTTAATTAGCTAATTCTCATCTATGTGTTATGTACAGAGGAAGAATGTTGCTGTTCCGTGTTTTGTTTTAATGAATTTATTAATCCCTAGCCTGCCTGCGTGTCTAGGCTTCAAAGTATATAATTGTTTATGTTAATTCTATTCTAGTCATATAAATAAGGCTTTTTGGAGGGGAAAAAAAAAATCATACAACCATAGAAAATAACTTGAAGACATTCTCTCCTGTAACATGTGTATTGTTCTGTTTGTGATTGTGGGAAGACACCTTCATAATGAAGTATCTTAGTGCTGCTTGATACTATGTTCTGTGACTCCATTTATTTCCTGTGTGAGGTACATGGGCATCTTGAAGATTTCTTTTGTAAATACATTATTTAAACAGTTGTAGGCAGTACACATCTCAGCAAAGATGAATTACTTTTTTGTTTTTATTATAATAAATGTTATTAAAGAATGCCTTAACTAAAAACTCTTAAGGCTTCTGTATAAACTTAAAGTTTCTTTTATTTCTGGATTTTTAGTGGTTTGAGGTTCAGTTACTAAATGAATTAAACAGGGTGTTAAAACAACAAAAAAAAAAGGTAAATTCCAGACACTAAAATGGCCAATGGTGCAGTAAAAATACACAACTTTCCTCCTGTTCATGTATCTAAGATTAGCAGAGTGCAACAAATTGGTTAGATCAAGATTTTTCTTTTGAAATGAGAAAGACATGTTTCTTCTAGTAGCTTCATATTTATTTGTGGCAGTTTGAGAAGATTGTTGGTATGTAAGCCAAAAACATGTGAAATAAATGACTGTGAATGGAACTGAAGTATTCTCCGTTAGTTATAATCCATCTTTGACCTTTTAAGCTTATGTGCCTTAATTTCTAAAGAAAAGCTAACAAAAACATGCCAGATTTGGTTCTAGTATGAAAACTGGCTGTTTATGTATAACCAATTTCTGCATCAGATATGCACTGAATGCGTGTGAATTGAGAAAACAAAGTATTTTGGTGGTTTGTATACAGATTTCCCTCTGGGTAATACATTTTGAGGGGAATTGCTAGTAATTCTAGTTCTGTAGGTAAATACATACATATGTATGTATATATGCCTGTAGAATGCCATTAACAATAACCAGTTTTAAATTCTAAGAGTTCAGTATGAAACTTCAGTGGTTTTACTTAGTTTCAATGGTAGGTTATAGTTCTGCTTAAAAAGAGGAAATAATGGAAGACATGCAAAAAAATGCCAAAAACCCAAAACCCAAACAAACAAAAACCACCCAAAAAACCAGCTTCTCATCTTAAACACGTTGGAGTTGTGATACTGTAATGCTAAAAATAAATCTGTTGTTATTGTGTGGGTTTTTCCAGTGCTGAAACTACCTTGAGTTTTAGCGTTCCATAACAGACCCATGGAGGTAAGAGTAATTTATTTATAGTCACTTTTCATAGTAGAACCACGCTGAGGGGAAAAAAAAAGTTGGAGGAGTTCCTTTAAAAGGCTCGTTATCACAGTCACTAGGCTTGAAGTTCTTACTTTTAAAACAAATGCTATATGCTTTTCTTTTTGTAAACAGAATGGAGGAAAAAAAAACCAATGCCAGCAGTGCATCACTTATGAGCAATCCTACAATAACCAGTGTGTGAGTGCTTAGTGTTTGGGGCCAGGGTGGGACAAGGGAGGTACATAAAGCACTTTGGCTTCAAGCCAGCTGTAAACATCTTGGGGAGGGGTGTGGAAAAAAAGAGTTGGAAATATGACATACATGTATTTATTAAACTTATGTTTGAATGCTGTGTGTGTACTGTGTTGTAAAACTTCTGCAGTCTGGGCACAACAGGTACCATTTCCATAGTAACCAAACCTCAATGCCATCTGTAGAGTATTGGTCTGTTGTTTGAAAGCTGTTTCTTACAGTTACTTCTTACAGAGCAAAAAAAATATCCATGTTAACAGAGTCTTAAGGTGAGGAACATCATTTTAGAAATGGAAGCTCGGCTTTTAACTGTAAATAAACATGTAGTACTGGAATTCTGTTTAGCAGAGCAAACACTTTTATTGGTTTACAAATAATTTTGCAAGAGCACAAAACAGAATCTTTGAAGATATACTTTATTAGGAATGCCATCAAACTGTATGAAAGTAGGTAACAGCCTTGATGATGCTGTATTTTTTTACTAAATTTACTCTTTCATCTAGAAAGGCTCCTGTGTATCAAAAAGACCTTGGTGACCCTAAGCTGGAACTAGAAAGAGAGAGACAGAGTCAGTCCTCTAGTTTAACTACTGTTTTTTCTTCTCTTCTCCCCAGTAAAGTTTGAGCAAAGCTGGTAGTGTTCATCTGGCTTTTCAGAAGCTGGCACAAACAAAATAACTCATCTGTCATTTTTAGTAACACTGTATGACTTTGTTTTGAGAATAGTTTAATTTGCACATTTACTAGGCACAGGGTGGGTGCCTGTATTTGGGTTTTTTTAAGCTACAGACTATCAACAGATACTGGGACTCCAGTCCAATGCAGCTAGAATGATTGTGGCTTGTCCCAGTGCTTTGCTTCAGACTTGCCCTCTGCTTTAAATACATGTTAAATTTTCAGACTTGAAAGAAAAAAAACATAGTTGTGCCACATACTGCTTTTAAGAAGAATCAGTCTCATGTCCTTAAATTTTATTTATGAGACTGGAATAGCATGTTGAGTGCTAGCTTCATTTAATGGAGTGTCACTCCTCTGACTTGAATCTGCTCATGCTGTGGCTGAGAGAACTCTAACTCTTGCTGTTTTGTTAATGTCCGTTTGCAGTCATTCAGGATATGAAAATTTGCAAGTGTTACTTTACATAACTTATAATTATCAGTGTGAACTACTCTGAAGGATATAACCCAGCTTCATGGTGCTATTAATTAAAATTTGGGCATTGAGATAGTCAAAATACGCTTGATGCTTTGTACTGCTTATTTATAGACCTTGTGTTCTGATACTTCTGAAGTTTGGTGGGTTTTTTTCAACATCACCTGGGAGTTTCTAAAAATACCTGATGTTTTAAGGATATTCAAATACTTGCTGTTGAAGAAAACCACGTATCAGCATTCTTTTTGTCTATATCTGTATCTGTTCTTTTTTAATGTATTAAAATCACCTGCCAGGAAGTTGTGTGTAGGTAGATGGCTAGTTTTGTTGTGTTTATTCCCTCTGCCTACCCAATGTTTTCTATGATCTTTGGTAGGAGTCTGTGGGTGCTCAGTGCTTCTGAAGACTGAGGTATGTTTAAGGCTTCTGGTTTTGATCTAAAAAAGCTATATATTTTTTATTTTTCCAAAGGTATATTGGGTATTTATAGCTCAAATTATTCTTTGGGTATATGAGACCCATTTGTGAATTTTCAAGTATGTTCATAGCATAGATCATTGTCTTTACTGAAGCTGTCTTCTAGGGCCTCAGTGGCTCACCTGAGGAACAGGATGGGACGGAACTCAGGATACATCATTCTGCTGTGGTAACTACAGCTAGGACATCAAAAGTGCTTACCTTGTTAAACCATTAAAAATGAAGAGCAGCTAAGAAGAGAGGTGTTATCACCCTCCTAGCTCTCAGCTCCCTGAGGAGATCTACCAGATGTCTTCTTGACTATGGCTTCATCTTATTTAAAAATTGAATTTCTGGGGTGCAGAACACAACATGTATTCCGTTTTTGTGTCTCTATGTAGTTTTCATAGATTACACTGCATGTTGTCTACATTAGTAGACCCATTGATGAAAGGAGTGTGTGTGAACTTGAAATGTTCAGTACTGCAGATGTCTCTATTCCTGTTGATAATAGTAGCTTCTCTAGAGAGATGATAGTGTTTAGTTCTAAATCAAGTCTCAGTTCAGTAAAATACAAATGCACTTAGACTAGTGTCTCTGGGTCTGCCTGCTCCCAGTGAAATTGGTGGGATGTACGAATTCTTTGTACTTCTTAAAAACTTCAAAATAAAAGCTAGCTGCTTAACTACTACTGTAAGCCACGTCTTCTAGAAATGGCTTTCCTGTATGCACTGCAGTAAATCTTGAAAGTAACTTCTAATACTGTGGCTATTTAAACAGTTAATGCAAAGTTTTTTCTGCTGCTTCTAAAACAAGACAGCTGAGACACGTATGCATTCATGACATGACAAACTTAACGTTTTTGCTTTCTTTTGGTTTCACAGAAAGAGCTGTGCATCCTTATTTTGAGCCTTTCATGCAAAAATTAAACTTAAGTTTGAGTTCCACAGTAGCATGGGTCTGAAAGAGATCAGTGAAAATGTAGGACTTTTCCACTTTGAACTTCTTCTGTCTTATTGAATGTGACTTTGCTGAATTTTCTTAATCTGCTATAGGTTAGTTATACCATGGTTGCTGCCTCGTGGTGGCATGCACTGTGCTACTTGTGTGCTGACTGGAGGTTTATTGCATTCCTTGTTCATATGCATTTCCATATAGGAGACTGCCTGGTAACAGCCTCACCCATGTTGTTAGATTCAATTTCGTATTGTAAATAATATTATTTATATCTGGAAGTAAGTTTTAAATGTTAGCTGTACTTAAGAATGCATAACAGCACATAGGTGTATTCAAAATGAAATTTGCATGTGAAAGAAACTTAAAATATTTCCTATGTTGGTGTTTTGCAAGTAGTCTTTTACCTGCCATGTTTGTATTTTATGTAGGGGAGGAAGGAAAGCCCTCTGAATACAAGCAACAAGCAATATAAAATGTTTGGGTGTGTGTAGGTGGGAAGTTCAGGAGGTCAGTTGTGTAGCAGAATATTAACCAGGGTTGGGCTGTGCATTTTAACTGGCTTATAACTTACAGGTGTTTCTCTTTAAAAGTTGTACTAAAGACCCAGTGGGAAATGCAAGCATATACAAGTGTATGAATCTGCCTGTCAAGCAGTGGCAGAAGTTAATCTGTGACAATATGATGAGATCTTGGCTGCAGCTGCTGTAAAATTTCTTGTCCCTTCAGAGTTCTAGAGAACCTCAGTTTTCGGTTGCCAACAAGATTTTCCTGGGAGGAGCTTGCCACTCTGCAGGCCATTTTCATGTTGGTTTGTCAGAGCCTAAAAGGTTTAACCTCATACCCTTGGTAAGCAGTCCTCTCTTTCTCTGGAAGTAAGGGTAAACTCTGACTTGGAGGATTGTAACTAAGTGATTTTATTTGTGTTGTGGGGTTTAACTTCCATTTTAAGTGCTTAGACAAGAAGATATATCCATCTGGAAAACATTAATGTGTTAGTATTTCCAACGCAGTAAAAATATACTGCAGAGATACAAGGAACACTTCTAACAAAGTTGTTCTGTGATAACTTGGTTGGGACATTTATCTGGCAAAGCTATTGTAATTTGTATGTGCAAAATCCCTAAGTCTTGAGGCAGCAGCGTATTAAGACACTTTAAATCCTTAGTCTAGAGAATACATAACATACTTAATGTTATTCTTGATTTACTTTTTTTTTTTGGACCTGGAGTTCTGGTAGTTAACATTAAGAGGTTTTAAGTCATGCTAAGAAGATTGTTCATTGTAATGGAAAGAATATGTTTTTATTGAGTAAATATGCAGCTAGTAATCAAAGTAGTCTTCAAAAGAATGAGTGTAGAGAGGGAGGAGTGTGCAACTGTGAAAATTACCCCTTTCACCATAGCAGTGGGAAATGTAAGGATTTGCATTTTAACATTCTAGTGTGAACGGCTCTTAAATTAACCCATTGCTTCCTTTTCTGATATTTTTAGTAATTTTGCTGGTTTCCCTTAAAATACAAGAGCTCTACTTTTACCTAATCCATCTTGTTAATGTCTTGAGTCTTTTGATGTGGTGTAGATGTTCTTGAGCAAGTTCAATGCTGTATTGAGTGAAGCATTTTCCCCAGCTCCACTGTAGGTAAATGTAATTTGGAAACATTTTGGGGCTGTGTTTGTTGTTTTATCAGTCCTTGTTTACATAACACTACATAGCTTCATAGTTTTGAGGACTTGAGGGTTGTCTGATGGTTTCCTGAGGCTAGTTTAAGCCAGCTAAATAAAAGCAACAATTCAGAATGGTCTTGCTTTGTAAGTGTGGTTAGAGGAAGCAGGAAATATCAACATGGTAAAGGAAATACCAACATGTTGCAACGTATCAGTCCACTGTGGTTGCACACTTGTGAGAATAAACAGGACTGTTCTTTTTTTAAGTTGAGGAAAAATGGATCTGCTATTTCTACATAAAATTTAAATTAAGAATCCTCTACTATATTGCTTATTTTGAAGGTAAGGGATGCCCTCATGTGGTAGAAGTTAAAATTGAAATTCTGCTGTTCAGAGTTTAAAAAGAGAGAACTATAAGCTCTAAGTAATTATTTAAGAGCTTTCTTGAATGAATATTCAAGGAAATCTCATATCATAAAAATCACAGCCTTACCCTGGAGTGTCTGAGCACACACAACAGAGCACAAGTAAGACAGGAGTGTGGTTTTGTTTTGTTTTTCCCAAAAAACTTCAAAGGACACCAAAGGATTAGGGCTGTGACTTCATCTGATAACGACTCTGATGGTGCTGCTGTTGTGTCTCACATAGGTGATGTGCAGTTCATAGACTATGAGTACTCTGGATACAACTACCTGGCTTATGACATTGGAAATCACTTCAATGAATTTGCAGGTAAAAATTGGATTTCTGGGGTAAACTGGTTTTATTAAAAAAAAAACCTTATTCTTGCACATCCTCTTTTTCTCTGTTTATGTATCTGGATAAGTGTGTATAACTGTTCATCTGATGGTATCAAAATGTGTCCATGTCTCATCTTGGAGGCCTGTTACACCCTTCCCTTGCAGCTCTGCTAACCCAGATATGGAAATACCATGTCCTAAGCTTTGGTAGAGTTGGATAAATACAGAACTCGTGGCTTTCACAGTATCCTTCTGTGAAATGACACAGCAGAGACAGCCCACTGTAATGAAATACTGCAGGTGGATTTTTTAACAGCATAGGTATATATTGAGAATATGCTGTGTGGTTCCACAGCTAGAAATGGCAGGCTTGTGTGGGGTTGGTTTTTTTTTGGTAGCTTTGAATGTGTGTGCTAAGAACTTACCCTTGTATCATGTCCTAAAATGAGAAGTAAAGGCTAGAACTGTGTGATAGGAAAAAGGTGGGATTTTAGGAATAAGCTAAAGCTTTCAGTTAATGCCCATTCCATTTCCTCTGTAAGAGAAATAATCTTGAGTGTATGATGTGTTATTTCAGAATATGGAGCAACAGGAAAAACCTACATGATTAATATAGATGGAAAGTGCAGTATGGTGAAATTTAGGAGCCTTAATCTAGCAGTTATTGTTTCACAAACTGAATGTTAAGTCTAGATAACTTCATATGTACAAAAAAAATCGGAGTATATACTTGGTAATTTAAGTATTTGAAAAGCAAGTTAAATTATTTACAAAATATATTTGAGAGCTTTTGATTTTTTTCATCTGGGACTTCTCAGAGTCTGACTAAATCTTTAAGAAGCTAAGTACAGTAAGAAGACAAAATGCACAAATAGATTATTTTTTGCCTGTGAAGGACAGTTGTGCTTCACCTCTGCTGTACTCTATCCAATAAAAATATGATTTTTATTTTCCTTTTAAAGCTATATTTGAGTGGATCTAACACAAGAAAGAGTTTTGGTTGCTAGGGGATTGCACTGTTCATAAAATAAGACTTAAGGAGAGTTTCCAAATCCTCTGGGAATGATAAATAGTAGGAGTGAACTGTGATCCAGGCTTTGGACTTGTGGCAGACTCTGTATGGCCTGTGACTAAACATCTCCAGGATGGGAAGAAAAATAGGACAAAAAGAGTGGTTATGGAAATAAGGCTTCCAATTCTACCAGTACCCTGTGGAGGGGTAGACCTCTAATAAATTTTTCTCAAACATGAGTGTAGTTGGTGACAGTGTATGTGCATCTGGATTCAGCGTTGGATATTGTTGTGTACATGTCCCTTTTCCTATGAAATATGTAATATTTGATATGTTTGGGAGGGCTTTTGTTTCATAATGCAAATACTTTTTCTTAAGGCTTCTCTCAAAGCCAAACTTGGTGAATCTTAAAATATAAGTAGAATGTGTATGTGACTCAAAACATACACAGCATAAATCTTTCTGCTGTGTTGAACGCTCTGATTTGTGTGTGAGAAGTTCTTGCCAACGCAGAACTGATAAAGTCAGTCAGCTCAAAGTGAAAATGCTGATGTTTGTCCACGTTAATTTGTGTGTGTGTGTGTGTGTTGGAGGAACTAGTCCAGTAATGTGATTTTAATGGTCTCTTTAGACACTGTAAGGTTCTAATAGGTATCTTTTTCTTTTTCTAGGGGTAAATGAGGTAGACTACAGCCTTTATCCTAACAGAAAATTACAGGAACAATGGCTGAGATCTTACCTTGAGGCCTACAAAGAATATAAAGGTTTTGGCACGGAAGTCAGTGAAAAAGAAGTTGAAGTTCTCTATGTCCAAGTCAATCAGTTTGCACTGGTAAATAACAAACAATTGATTAGAATATATTAAATTCTATAGAGAAGCCTGCTCCTCTATGGACAAATGCAATTGCTAGTTTCTTACTCTCAGTACTGTGGCATGTAAAGAAAAACTTCCTTAGCCTGTTCTACAGAAACTTTCTGCTATGTTGTGTATTAAAAATGTAAAAATTTTTTTTACACAAAAAATTGTGTAAAATATTCCTAGTGAAAGAGGTAGTGAGCATTTTGTAATAGAGGAGATGACCTTTTAGCAAGTGTTTCTATTCCACAACTACATATACACCATGTTAAAAAAAAATGCACATAAATAGAACTAATTTCTACTGCTAATTAAATATATATTATTCTACATGTGTTCAACTCTAGTGCAAATATGAAATTCCTTTTGAATCTGGCAAGTTTATTGGTCTGGCAAGTTCCCAGATTGGCTAGAGCTTATGGTGAGTCTGTGTTGAACTTCCTTGTAATGGTGAGAAGACAGAAGAACAAGACTCCTCCTGTCCCTTGTGCATTATAAGCTGTCTCCTGTTTGTCAGTCTGTCTTTTGCAGACTTCAGGTGTAAAAGCTTCGTTCCCTTGTTCTTTCCCTTTGAAAGGATGGAGCATGTTCAGTTTTGATCTGGCGTTAGTACCTTGTCCTTCAGGGGAAAAACCACATCCAGTGTAATTCATGGAGGTAGAACAAGAAGTCAAATAGGTGTGGCATTGAGTCTTTGTCCCAATATACTCTTAGAAGCAGTTTGAAGATTCTTTAACCCCCCCCCACCCCCCCAAGTTTTAACTCTGTGTGATTCTGAAGATACTTTACAGGCTCACGTTATTTTGGTTACGTTTTCCAACTAGCCCTGATCTTGGTTTGCCTAGAGGATGTGATGGGAAATGTTCCAGCAAAAGTGTCTCCTACCCAAAAGCTAGAGAACTTTATTTTGCTTTCTCCTGAAGAATAACATGCCAAACTATTCATAGGAGGGCTAAGGCTAAGAAGCCAGTTTGGCCTTATTTCATTCCTCTTTCTGAATAATCCAAGCACAACTCTGTTGCTTCAGTTTTCTGGGAAATGCTAATGGTTGCAGCGAGGAAATACAGTTCACATTCTAGGAAGGTGATTATTGAACAAGCCCTTAAAAATACCAGCTTGTTTGCTGTTATTCTTTTAAAATCGCTGTTATCAACTGGTTACTCTTAAATTCAGCTGTCCCATTCATTTAGGAAAGTTAGATCTGCAATTAAGTAGGCTGCTGGTCTGTTTTCAAGTACATAACATTGTTTTGTCAGTTTTAAACTGTGGTCATACTAATGTTTAAGAAGGTAGAGTTCTGTTTAGAGAACAGCTCAAGACCTGCCTATAGACCACGCATGATGCACAAATACTGCCAAACACTCTTGTGTCAGTTGATGAGGGAAGCTTTAAGAGAAAATACAAAGTTAATGGATGCTGATGTGAAATGCCAACTATCAGGCAAGGTTACCTAAACTAGAGGTACAAGAAATATTCACATGTACGTACAGTAGTTGCCATTTGAAGGTGTTTTCAGTCGTGTGTGTGTACATGTGTCTCTTCCACCTCTGGTGAAGTGTTACATGTGAGGTTCAGGAAGCAATATAGGTAGTTACTGTAAGCAGTTATTTATTGAACAGAACTTTGAAGTATATAACTTGTAATCTGGGTGGTCCAGAAATGTCTTCCACAAGGAGACTGACAAGCTGATGGCTGTTACATGTAATATATGTTCATTTGGAATATACTAAAAAATCATATCATTAATGTAATCTGTATTTTCAGTCTGAAACTGAACATAGGCCTCCAGACTACTTATCTGGGCTTGTAGTGGAAGTAAGTTTGGAGCAGATGAAAAATTTGTGTAAATGCTGATGAGTTAGAAGTTCCCTTACACAGCTCCAGATCTCATATCTCTTTGTCTAAGTCAGTAGTGAAAGGGAGTTGTAGTTATGATAGCCTAAGGGTTGTAATCAAGGATTCAAAAGGAATTTCATATTTGCACTAGAGTTGAACACATGTAGAATAATATATATTTAATTAGCAGTAGAAATTAGTTCTATTTATGTGCATTTTTTTTACATGGTGTATATGTAGTTGTGCAACAGTCTACTTAATAGATGACCTATTTCATAAATGCAACATTATTTTTCTTGAAAATGAGTCAGGAGGCCAATGGATTTACTCCTCCATTTGCCAGTAATTCTCTAATACTTCTTTACCAATCTTTTGGTAAAGAGATATCAAATAACCTTACAATAATAGTGGGGTTTGGAAGTTTTCTTGTAGATAACTTTTTGTCTCGGTGTGAGAATATGTTTCCATGTTGGATTGTACATAATGTTAATCTTCCACTAATAATTTTTTTCTTTCAGGCTTCACACTTCTTTTGGGGATTGTGGGCTCTAATTCAAGCCAAATATTCCACCATTGATTTTGATTTTCTAGGGTAAGTGTGCTTGCTACATGTAATCATAGAATATTTGAGGTTGGAAGGGACCTGTGGGGCCATCTGCTCCAACAACCCAGCTATCAGAAACTGAGGTCTAAGCAACAGACCTGATCTGTGTGATCATACTGTAACTCTTAATTTTTAAGAGCAAACAAGACAGTGGAAGCTGACACTGTCTATGCTTTTTGTTGCTGAAAGTTCTGTAAATTAGTGTGTGCCCCTGGGCTAAAATACCTGGTGTAACAAGGCGAGGAACATAACCAGAGGAGTAAATGTTTTGGGGTGGTGTTTTTTTGGGGGAGACACAAAAGCATAAAAGCCAAGTGGGTCATTCTGGTGTACTGTCTGTCAGATACAAGACCTACATTTCCAACTGCAAGAGTCAAGAAACAGGATCTTGTAAAAAAAGAGCTTGTTTACTACTTATTGCATGGAGCATTGATCTTGGGAATCCCTAATCTCCTTTTTAAAGAGTCTTTGTAATGCCAATGAATGTTAAGTTCTGTTTCCTGAGCCTGCTGGCCAATGGGTTCTGTTTTGGGTAGACATGTGTCTTTGGCATTTTTTAAATGTTTTTTCATGGCAACAAGCAGAGGAATTAATAATCTCTCCGTTGGGGACTGGGTGAGGTGATTAAAATTAATAATTTCACTTGGTAGAATATCCCACTTTAGAATTTTAAGCACTAACTGAGCCAGTTTACTAGGCTTAGTTGTGTCATTTTGTAAATGAGACCAATGTCAATTTCTTCTTGTGACTCAATTATTCTGGAGTAGAAGTACTTGTTAGTAACCACTAGATGGCATAAAAAGCCAAGGTAAAGCACAGGTGGCAGAACCCAAAACGTGGCAGTTGTGAATAAAATGTCATTCTTGCAATGATCAAGATCAGATTCCTCTGGAATTGTAATTTTCAGTCTATTAAGAACTATTAAAAATGAAAGTTCCACCTTTGATAATCCCAGAACAGCATCTGTGTTACAAACTGTAGCGAGTTGGGAGTTGAGTATAGTGATGAGGAAGTATCATAATATGGTTGCTCTGTTCTTAATTTCTTCCTTTGGCAGCTGCTGATGGTCAGTGTTGGAAACAGGGTAGTAGGGTGGGTGGACTTTTTTTGAGTAGTCCTACCTAGCGTGGCTGTGTTCATGTAAGGAGTTACCTGCTCTTAACTTCAGATCTCTCTCTCCCTTTGAACAGGTATGCAATTGTTCGGTTTAACCAGTATTTCAAAATGAAGCTGGAGGTCATGACATTAACTCTTCCTGAGTAATGAAGAGGAAGAAACTTAACCAAGTGGATAGACAACCCCTGAATCTTTTCTGAGAACAGATACTGGAAAAAAAGCTAAACATTTGTTGAAGTTCTGTAATGCTCACTTGGTGGTTCTTGCTTTATAAATAATGCCTCTAAACAGTCCTTCAATGTTGAATTTAATATGAAGAGCATACATACTGCTGTTGATATAAAATGGATTAGAAACTTGCTAAACCTATAAAAAGTTGTAGAAATGGCAATTTAATCCTTCTTTGTAATTTAACATATGTTGTATGTGAATTATTTATTATAAGTTTAACATGATTCCATTGCTGCTTTCATCAGTTTTTGTACAAGTTGGGTGCGGACAGTGAAGTTGTTCCAAAGGATTCGTTTAACAACTTATTTTATTGAAGTTGCATTAACTTATATTAAAGAAAACATGGTCAGAGAATATTAACCTTTTAAATGCATACAAGCAAAATGAGTGATAATAGACTTGTGAGATCACCAGTGTGCTGTAACTAGGGAAAAAGGTTAGGATGATCTTTATTTTTTTCCCCTCTTTTTTTAAAAAAGGAAAAAGCAGCTTTCCATATGATGGTACTTTTCTTTTGTTTAAGAATCAGCAAGCTTGCTGAAATGATATTGATTTTTTTTTTTTTCCTTCTTGATGTGTTAAACTGTAGAAATGTGAAAGTTCTGTGACTATCAGATCCTTCGAGGATATGTGCCATCATAGTGTCAGATGGACACTGTACCATCTCCAACTTATATGGGAAAGCTGCTTAGTTATTAAGTGTACTTTTAAAACAAAAGACCACTATTCCAAATCTATATTGCTTTTTTTGAAACTTGATTCTAAATTTGAACACTATTCCAGTGTCTATATTTGTGCTTCAGCGGAATGGATTATTGAACTGAAGATTAGTGAACAGAGATCCTGTTGCACTGGGGAGCAAGACACTTAGGTTTACAGTTCATGTATTGTTGAAATCTTTCTGCTTCGTCATCTTTCTGACCTTGGATTCTAGTCTTAAATGCTTGGTCCTGTAGTTGCAGATTCTGGTATGTCTGGTTGGTTTGTGTTTTGGTTTTTTGGTTGTTATTTAGTGTTGTGTTGTTTTGTTTGTTTTTTCCTGTGGCAGCAAATTACTCTTCAAAGTCTCCAGTTTGAAGGATAATATGGAAAAGTATATGACTTGAACAATGGGACTTTGATCATCACACGCATTTTCTTATTTCTTAAAGCTATTATACCAAGAATCGTCTGGATTGCAAAATGTGAATTGAAAAGAAAATGTTTACTTAACAAAACAGTGTATATGTTTGTGTGGAAAAGAGGCTTTAAATCTGAAAGGGGGGGAGGGTGGGGTGGGAGGGAGAGAAACCCACAACAGAAAAATAAAACCCATCAATGCAGTGTGGAGTTGGGTAGGCATGTACTCAGCTCTGATTCTACTCTGAAAAACTTTGCACTTTGGTCACATAAGTGCCCACATGTACAAAGTCTGCGTGTGTGCATATACATGTGCAAACACAAACTTACCTGAAGAGTAAATATTATGGGGAGCCTGTTGTACAGACTCCGGCAAAGATATTTATTCAGAATTGCTTTATGGCACACTGCTATGTATGGATGTGTGTATATGTGTATACACACACACATATATATGTTTGTGCTTTCCAAAAGCTCGGATTGATTCAGGACTAAGAAAATTGATGTGAATGAAAAACTTTCACCTTGAAAGATCATTTAGAATGGCATTCTGTTATTTTACAAAAGCAAGGTTTGGGATTTTTTTTTTTCCTCTTGTTTATATTAGTCTCTGAATGTTTCAAATTTCTTAATTTCCTTCAGTCAAAACCTTAAAAATCCTAATACAAATGGGAGAACTGGGATTTTTTTTTTTTTTTTGTAACTTGAAATGAGGTAACCATTTTCGTTAGCATTTCTTAGCTGGAGGCTACTATACTGGACAAATTTTCTTGGTAGTTAAATAGAAACAAATAGCTAAAGTAGACATTTATATTTTTCTTTGTAGCAGTTATCAAGGATGTTGCTAGAGCTCATGAAAGCACTGAAGACTTTAATTTTCTGTACTTTCTCAGTGTTGACATTATTGACATATGTTGAATAATACCCTGATGTCTTGGTTGTCCCTTTAAGCTCAGCAAGATCTGCTTGGAAGTAGGATTGATAGAGATTTTTGAACTCCTATTACTACTTTCTTCGAGTGGTGGCTTTATTTCTGGCAGTGTTGCTTTGTATTTGTGAAATACTTGAAAAAAAGCTGTGGAGTTCACTTGGTCTTGGGAAATCCAACACTTGACGGATCCTAACTTTCCCAACAGTTGTCAAAACACATTCCCTTTTCTGGTACCAGTACTATTTAAGTTTGGAGTTAGTGTAATTTTTTTTTTCTCAGTAGTAGTTTTGTTTGTATAGCTCAAGTAGCAATAACTGCAGGAGTGGAAGCTTGCTTCTGCAGAACCAAAGCTCTTCATGAGTGCAGCTCAATCTCATTCTCGTGCAGTGAAGTTCCACTAAATCCCATAAAAGCACTTTGAAGCAGAGAGTAAATACTGCAAGCTTTTCCTGAGCCACTTCGAAGAAGCACAAGGGTTATCACAAGTTAAGAGTGGTTGACTTTGCAGTACTGGTAGAACCTTTGATTTTGCATGTTGAAATTCATTTTACACACTTAAATGCTGCTTTGCATCAGCTTTCTTTCAAGACAAGTGCAGATTAAAACAATTCCTGATAAGTTCTGAGGAAATACTGTAAAACACTTTCCAAAATGAAATGCCAGTTACCTTGAGCCTTGTTCCACATCTAGTTGAGCCAGTGGCACTCAGATATCCTTGCTTGCTGAGGAATATCTAAGGATGCGTTAAGCTTGAAGCAGTAGTTTGCAATAGCACTGTGGGTGATAAGGTAGCTTGAAACTGTGAATACAGGACACTCTGAATGTAAGTTAGGTACTAGAGCACCGAACTAGAGGACATGTACTTGTTTCAATTAATTTATCTCAGTCTCTTTAATAGCAATGTGAAGATGTTTGGAGGAGGACAAAAACTGACTGAGCTCTAGAAACATCCTGTAGTAGTTTTGACTGTAACTTGCCAAGAAGATATTCTGTTGCCTTTATGTTAAGCTAAGGGCGTGAATGCCAAAATTAATAATTCTTACTGTAGTTAAACCTATATTGTAAATATAAAGAGGATTATTAGTAAAGGCATTCTTGCATAAATAGCATCAAGTCAATAGACCATAGTGGCCTGGTTGCTTTTGTAAAGCAGAATAGTGTGAATTTTTTTCTTCTCATTTCTGCAGTCAGATCTGGCTAATCCATGCCTCATTTCTTAGGTCACCTAAGCATTACAGATTTCTGAAAGATGACTAGTCTCTTGTCACATAATTTTCAAAGTCTCCATTTATGATTTTTGATTTGCATTTTAAAAGGACTCAACCAAATTTGCATTAACCAGGTCTGACTGTATATGTATATACAACAGTGTAAATAACCATTTGTAAATTAGTGTGAATTGTACTGTATCTTGCATTTATGGACTTGTGTATTGCATTGTATTCTCTCCTATTTTGTAGAAATTTTGATGTAAAGAAGAAATCTAACTCTGTGTGCGGACTTCTTTTGTTAAAGTGACCTGTAACAGAGCATAAGAGTTTTATGTTAAGGTATCCATTTATAGCCTTGGGCATCCAGTGTCTTCTTTTTCCCGTTAGCTTTTTTGACATCTTGCTCTTGGGAATGATTCTGGGAATAAAGGAATTTATACAGTACTAAGATGAAGAGAAAGTCTGTTCCAATAATAGGGCAAAATGTGTGTCAGAGGTACGTGTAGTACCTGTGGTATAGGGAAAGCTGTTAAAATTGTTTACTTAAACTTCCAAACATTTCCTATACATTCTTGAATGTTGGTGACTTCTAACATAAGCATGTTGAATTGAAGTAATCTTAAAATGTGCACTTCCATGGTGACAGCAACTGAGTTAGTTGTGATAGAAATCCCCTGACTTAAATGTTTTTGGTGGTTATAGCCTTATAATAGGGTTAGTTGCTAACTTGTAAATGCTTATAACAAATGCCCAGATCACCCAAAATAGTTCTGTCAGTCACCTTCCTCAATGCTAGAACTATTGGTAGCCCCTTTAGACTATTTGGAACTTCCCTGAGGTTATTTTCCCTGTGTGCTCTTCCCACCCCCTCCTCCTCCTCCTCCCTCTGCCCACAACCATACTTCATTAGGGGAACCGTGAATACACAAGCTTCCTTTCCATAAATCATCACTATTTCCTTTTTGACTAAAATTGTGTTCTGTTTTGTCAGTTCATGACTTCTCATCAGAATTTTATCTCGGAAGTCCTTCTCTGGAGAGGCCTTTAATCTGGGAAGCATAGACCTAGTGAAGCATAGTTTTCCCCAAATGCCTGACTGTATTTCATTACTGTTGCCTTTCACTGTCTGTTCAGAACTCCAAGCTCTGAGTTTATTCTGGTCACTGCCAGTGTGTAATAACTCTGCTGGAAAATACTGGTGTGCAAATCTCACTGTCCATCTGACAAATTGATCTTGATGCGGTTTGTGCATCTTGTCAGCTTTACCTGCGCCGGATGAAAGGTACTCGTGCTTATCAGTGTTGACACTCTGGGTTACTAGGGTCCTGGGAAGTGAGTTTTATCAAGGAAGTGTTAGTCAAGAGGAGGGATGGGCTCAGTAAATACAAAGTAAAAGGAAGTAATTCACATGGAAACTCAAGGTTAAGCTTTTGATGTAGCAAGGTATTGGATACGCTTATTTACTTGCATGGTTTAAGGACAAGAGCAAATTGTAAGGGGTAAAGTTTATTTCAAAATGAAGTTCAGGTTTTTTTTAAACCCTTTGGTAGCTAACAAAAGCTTACAAAATACTCTTTTGTTACTCCTACTGCAAGAAATATTAAAACAAATCTGTGTAACTTTCTGTTTAAACAAAACATTGTTCTATAACCCTGTGGAATAGAATATTTTCCTTGGGGTAGTCCTTCCTGTAATTTGCAAAGGAGCTTGACCACATCTTGCCTGTCTGCACTTGAGGTGGCTGTTTATTCTTGATTTAATGTTTTTATATTGTTTACTCTGTTCTTGGATGCCTTCTAAACTGTGCTAGATTACTAAACTACTGGAATTAGCTGGTCTATCATCTCTTCCACAGCAGGCAGGTTGTAATTACAGTAGTAGAACAGAAAGCATTTGATCATTTTCATTCGTTATGAAAGATACCAAAAGCCACAACCTTTGGTCTTGTGCAGGGTAGGTGTTCTGTTAGCTAACCAGGCAACTTTTAAGGAAGGGAATCTCAGCTGTGAGAAACCACACAACTCCAGATAGGACATGTTAAAAGAAACCAAACTTTGTGGTCTTTAGACCTCTGGAGTAGAAAGGAAAATGCGTGAAACATTTGTATGT